AAGTGTCCATGTATATGATTGGCCATAATTTATCATTGCCATTAAGCGAGGGAGATATCATTTACATTAGTAATTTGTGCTTTGTGCAGGCCAGAATTATATACGTTGACTCTTGATTTTGAAATGTTTTCTCTTGGAGCTGTGTGTTTCTTGCAGGATAGAGGCCACAGCGTGAGGAGGGAGCTGCCTGGGATGGCACTGGGCTGCAGCAGTGCTACAGAAGACACTTGGTAGTGAAGAGGCTGATCGCTGGGATATCAGCTCAGTTTTACCATTGAGATAGGAAATGAATTTAGGCAGAATATGCCTCTTCTGTGCCTTGGTTTCTCCACTGGAAAATCAATACAGCATGACTTGCCTTTTCACTGCGTTGGACAGCTTGCAAACTTTTCAAACTCTGCATAATGAAGTCAGAAAACAGACAAATACGAGCATTGGAGAAATACCTTAACTGCAAGGTGTGGTGAGACCCTAGCACAAGAGAGCGGTGAAAAGCCTAGCATTGGTGTGTTTCCAAGCCGTGTTCAAGCAAGCGCTGAGATGCCTTAGATACGGTATGCTGCGAAGTTCAGCGTTAGCTGGACCTTTTGCCTACAGGCAGCGCTCAGAGCCATTTCTTTTCCTTAGAAAGAAGGATGGAAAGGGTTTGTGAGTGTGTGTGCGTGTGTGTTCATTAGGAGCAAGCAGGAGTTACTCTCCCTCCCTCTCACTGTCTTCTGTAGTATCCGTGATATGCACAGGTGTATGCGATGCGAGAGAATGGGGACAAGACACAGCCCTGCAGTAGCTAAATCCTGTCACACCTTTGTGTGGATTGGTATTACTTGAAATTTTCTAGGTCATGTGCACCATTAAAATGATTTCCATGCCTGTGTTTGGAGAATCTGCTGTGCCTATTTTCATTTATACCCATGTGACTGATCCAGGGCCATATGTTAAGAATATAGCTGCTTTTTCTTTTTTCTTTTTTTTTTTTAACCATTGGTGTCTAAATATATCTAATAAAAATGCAGACTGGAGCTCTTTCATGAGGCGATAAGTCATTCCTGCCTCTCTTCTTTTTAAGACAAAACCACCTCACACACTGGCTTCTTTTTGTATGGACTTCTGCTTTGCATTTCTACACATTCATCATAGCATGAAGCCTCTCACAAAAGGCAGTAAGAAAAGACTGCTGAACAGACCGTTTTGGCGTGCATAAATCTGAACTCTTGCAAAGGGAAACCCTCAGCTTTAGCGGGGAAAGCCACAGGCTGTGTGTGAGTGCATGTGATGATAGAAGGTGTTTTGGGGAAAAATAAAAGATATAGTGCTGAGTAAGTTTAGCATGGTCTTGAATTGTACAGCTAAGAACAGGAGCCATTAGGAAGCAGTTTGCAAGGGGAAATATTTCCAATTTTGTTCCTTCCCTTTGCAAAATTGCAAAATTCAAGTGATGGAAAAATCTTTTTTATTGCTGGCACCTAATTTCTAGGTTAAATCGGTGGCTGAGGTTGTGTGCAGCAGCGTGTGAGTGGTGGCTGGGGGGTGTGTGGCACTGCTGGGCACGGATGTACAGATACACTGTTTTGATTTTGAACCTTCAGTTCTGGGAGGAAATAGCTTCGCTACAAGAACAGCTCTGGTTTGCAAGCACATTGCTGTGCACACTGCTGCAGCAAATGTACCGTGGTTGTGGTTTGACAGCTGAAGTCAGAATACAACTGCTAAATCAGATTACACTTGCACATGGTGGCTGGGTGTGAAATCCCAGGTGGCTGAGTGGCACTGTCACCGATGCACCGCTGTGCGGTTGCACAACGTGTTTTCTGGAGCGGCAGAGTCGTCTCCCCGAGTTGCCATGCCTGAACGCTTGTTTGTGTCCCAGTGCTGCTGCTCGCCTCTTCTGCCAGGACATCTGTTCGCAGGCTTGTACTGTGAACTGCATTGCTGAAATGTCCAAATTGGGGAAAAGAAAAGATGCGCTTGTTTTGGAAGGGCTTCTTCCTTTTTTTCACCGCTCACAGGTTGATCCCGCATGTGGTCGGTGTGGTGACAAGCTCTAAGTTGGGGCGCCAGTCTCCTTTTGCTAGAGAAGACCCACCATGTGGCTACACAGCGAGACTTGCTTCAGCAGGCCTACAGAGGAAGAGAAGGAGGAAAGGGGAACCTTAGCAATTCCAAGTTGTGATCGAGGATTGAAAGCCAGAGTTTTGGTATATAAAACAATAGATCTGTGAGTAATTGTTTAACCATGAAGTATGTCAGAACAGCTGAAAAAGAAATTGATGAGTTCTCTAAAATGCCAGCTCACGTGAAAAATTTCTGAGAGAAGGTAGTCTGGGTTGTGTTTTTTAATTTAATGATCTCTTCAGATGGGCAGTCAAACCCTACTAATCAAATTTAGCAGGGCCTTGCATAATAAGAGGTGCTTTATTTACAGGCTGCACATTCGCACTGAGGCACAATGATAAATTATTTAACTATAGATATCCAAAGAAGTGAGCCAGGCGCCTGCTGGGTCGCGTTGTCTCACTGCTTCCCAGCTTTGCATGTTCTCTCACTGGCTAATTCACCAAATCCAGCCATTTGCAGAAGTGGTCTCTTGGTTATTAATGTTAATTAGCGAGGTTCTGCTCTATGAATATTCCTGTAGTATGCGCTTTCAAAACATACAAAGTGCTAAGCTCTTCACCCGTGTAACGAGCGTGTATATAGCTGTATTGTTAATTAGCTGCATCCCTCCAAGGACGTGCGCCCCACTTGGGAATGGTAGTTTTGGTGTTTAGCTGCTTGTGGTAGTTAGAGCAAGTCCCCTCCGAGACCCGCTTGCAGACTTGTGCCGTAGTCAGGTTGTCAGATTTTTGGCCTTTGTTTTAATCATTAGTTTCTCCTCTGTGCATTCTACTTAATAAACAGTGCAGTTTCTAGTATTAGTTATTTTCAGATTTGCCATTAGTACCTTGTTTTAATCCGTGCCGACAAAGCACCTGACTTGATATATGCTCCAGGCAGGGGTCGGGATTTAAGTGTTCTTCAAAAAAGCTTTTATGCTATGAGAATGGTGCTCCTTGTGCTGATGACAGTTTTAAATCTCTGCCTCCTAATAACCATCCTGTGATAACACCTTCTTCCTCCGACTTACACAAACAACTCTGTTCCAAGGAGAAATTTCCCCCTGAAAATGTAGAAGTGCCGTTTGTTCTGCAAAGTTCAACTGGGGCTTTATTGTTGCTCTGATTTAATTTCCTTGCTGATGAGATGCTCCCACTGTGGATGACACATCTCTGAGAGATATCTTCTCTCTGTAGCTTGGTAGAAAAATGTCCCTCTCCTCGTTTTAACACCAAGGGCAACAGAACAGAAGATGATGATACTCTTTGCTGTATAGGTAAATAATATGGCTGTAAATGAGAACCAAGTTATACTTTAATTTTTATGTATGTTCAGGATGAAAAAGCAATGCGAGATCCGCAGGTCTTTCCAAAAGAGGAGGGTTGTTCTCAAATATGTATGCCTTGTCCCTAGTCTTAAGTTTTCGGTATAATCCAGAAAACTCTTGGTTTTACCGTTTGATTATAATTTGCATTTAGATTGGCTGCCTGAAGGGGAGTCGCTTGCGAGGGGAGATGGGGCTATGTGGCTCGAGTCTCTTGCAGATCTGGCTGAAAGTAATGGCATTTACATAAAAACCATTAGCTCTGTTATTGATAAACATGAAAGGCATCCATTTCATTTAATTTTCTGATGAGGAGTCTTTAATATAAGCATACACTAGCACTGCAGTAGTAACATTCCTGCCCCCCATCCCTCCTTACTGACCTCTTGTTCTTTTAAGGGCAAGTTTTGTTTTGGATTTTGTTGGTAGGGAGATGTGGAGTTACTTCTGTTCCAATTCACTGAAGTAGCCAGTTGTCGTGCTACGTGGTAGGGAATTATTTAATGCTCATCTTAAGAGGTGTCTCTATTAATTGAACAGGGATTTAATGTCTCCCTGAAGCATAATTGGTCTGTGTGTGATGTATACTAACATGTATGTCAAGCAACGGGTTTTCCTTTTGTCTGCATCCCAGCACTGTTCTATGGGTAATCTTTTGCTTAATCAGAATGGGTTTAAGCAGAAGTTCAGTGGCTCCTTATTAAGGGGATAAAGTGTGTTGAAACAACAAATCTATTAAAGGAACTTCTTTGGTGCACGCTAGATCACATCCCATCTAACCCTTCAGGACTGTGTCTTGATAAAGTAGTTTTTGTGGCCAGCGAGGAAAAATCTGTTTCCCTGTGTAATGCTCTTGACCACATGTGTAATGGTGCATTGGTGATCAGCATGTGTCACAAAGAGCTGTGATTCAACGTCTTGGTAGTAATTGGTTTTGTGTAGCTATTGCTGCAACTCTTACATAAACGTCTTGCTTTACTCTTGGGTTGGATCAGGTCTGACCTTCTTGAGAATCTCCAGAGGCAGCTGGTGCCATAGTTGTTTTCAAACATCACAGCATTTGCTTGAGAGACCTTGCTGTGAGCTTTGCAAGCTCTTTCAGTTCTTGACTTCAGTGTTGGGGGTGGGGGAGTGTCCATGTCTGTTTTGCATTGCTTAGCTGGCCTACTTCTTGATTTTTTTTTTTTTAATTTTTTTTTTGTTAATT